TCCAGCAGAAGCGTGCCGCCCACCAAATCCGGTCCGTGTTCCAGAAGAGGAAGGTGGTCTGGGCAAACAGAGGTAGCGGTCACCAAGTGAACGCTAGGAGCATGGTCCCCCGGAGCGTCCAAACGAAGGCCAGCAGGATCTTCACCCCGGCCCTCTGAAGGTGGTGCCGCACCAGGAGAACCCACCTCGTGGATGCGTTGTTGACCAGGGTACAACGGCTGCGAAAAGGAGGGCTCGGGGAAAGGAGAGGCAGGGAAATCTTCGCCAGACAATGGCCGATCACGCAACAAGCGTCGAACTTCCATCAACACTTTTCCCAACAAGTTGCGACCACTATTCGGCCAATTAGAAGAATCACTAGCCTCTGGAGATGTTGCAGCCATGCCGATACCCCAAACAGGATCGAAGGGGCTAGCTTCTGCAAGGAAACGGGTACCCGTCGCCATCAAATGTTGTTTCATGGCTGGGTTTTGAGCAAATTTAGCATATGACCCTGTAAGCACGATCTCTTCACGACGACGCTCCCATTCAGCATAGTCGAAAGGACGCACTTTACGACCCAAGTACTTGTATGTCTTAGGATCAGTTGCCGTCATAATTTTGTCATACGATGCCATATCTCCAAACAGCTTCGCTTTTTCAGACATCATAAATTGCTCACCACATGAATAACGTACCCCCAGTACGTCAAAAGCCGAGGGAGTCCATTGCGAGAAACCGGATGGAGGTTTCCAGAAAAGGTNAGAGGCCATTCGGCTATTAGAGACCTGTTCGTTAGGAGAAGTCGTACCTGCAACAAACGGATTTGATTTAATTGGGGCAGGGCGCTCTTGACTACTCCCCCTTGACAAGGGAGCCGAACCTTCCACAGGATGGTGGGCACTACCACCTGATCTTGATGGCAGTGGTGCAGTCAGCACTTGGTGGGCAGCAGAGGAAGAATTTTTATCATCAGGTGCTGTCTCACGGGGTCGGCGGACGGTCGAAGACAACGAAAGCCGAGAGGGGGAAGGAGAGTCGACGGATGTTCCGACGAGTGTAGAAGAAGGCTCGCGTACTGCTTGAGAAGAATCCCGGTTGACAACACCAGGAAGATCTTGACGAACAGTAGAGGAAGAGCTTCTAGGTCCTTCCGTTACCCGAGACGACGAGGTGAGCAGGGGTGAACCGCTCGACGTCTTACCTCCCGGGCGCCCACACCACAAAGGTGCTGCCGGATTGGG